ATATAAGTCGAAAATGCGTCAGTGCTTCATCAAGGTAATAATAAGCAAAAAATTAAAATTATGGAAGACCCTTTTTTATATAAGAGCATTGTGGCCCAAAATAAATAAAGTCAAAGTTCTTAAATGTTTATAGCAGCAAAGTGTTATATAAAAAATATACTAAATGAAAATACTACAATTAAAAAAAATCTTTTTAAAAAAATCACATTAGTTGCCTCCCTTGCATAGATGTAAAAAAACATATTTTTAATTATGGTGTTAACACAGAACACATCTAAAGATATGCAACCCCTGAAGATGATCTTAGATTAGATTAAAAGTACTTGGGAGAATAAAAATTATTTGAAAGAAAATTTGGGAATTTTTCTTCATCAATTTTCTACAGCCACCAAGAAATTAATTCGTGGACTTGAGAGGATTAAAACTAACACACACACACACACACACACACACACACACACACACACACACACACACACACACACACACACAAATATATATATATATATATATATATATATATAATTCTGTCACTTCCATTTGCCCGTTCTTATATCACGCCCTCTAAAATAGCCATACATTGACGACGAAAAACCAAATTTTTGAGAGAAGTGCAATCAGGTAAGGGACTATAAAGTAAGTTTGGTTTTATTAGGATGTGTTGCTTAATACAATAAATTTACATTAATTTGGGGGGAAATTAAAAGTTTTATTATTTAACATAAAAATACTTCCACTATTTAAAAAAATTAATGACTAAAAAACAAATACTTATTAAATAAAAATACAATATTGTTTTTTGCATATCTTTTACTTAAGTATTTATATACAAGAATCCAGTTTTAAGTTCGTTCTGCGTTTATGAGAACTATAAACAAATTAAGGACCAAATGTTTCAAAAAGTTGGAATTTGGTTCCAGAAAGAAATATTTATGCATGGTCAGTTGTGTGTTGCATCCTCAAGAGTAAGAAATCCTAAGAATTTATTCTTCGCTCTTAGTAAAGAAAAAAAAAAAATTCTTAAAAATATTGTTTATCATGAAGTCCTATAAAATTAAATTAAAGAAATTTTTAAACCGTAAAATATGGTTTTTGTCAACGTATTTTCCAAACAAATCAGCTTATTCAAATTCCTTGAGTGGTTTACGAAACTGAACAAAACGTAGAGTTTGTAAATTTCGGTAAAATATTTTAGTGGTAACTTCAACACTATTAAATACTGCAAGGATTTCAACATACACAAAAAAATTATTGTATGTAAAAAAAAACACCCCCTGGTTTCATTGGGAGGATTTCAAACCCAACAGATACGAAAAGCAGTAATATAGATCTATATTCCAGTCACCTGAAGAAGGCCGGAATGTACAGCGGCCGAAACGTCGGGAATATGGCAATAAAGATGAGGACAACAGTCCGAACAATAAATAATAATATATATATATATATATATATATATATATATATGTATGTAAGCAAATGTAAATGGATATAGATCCGACAGAATGAAGAAAAATTTGGGAAAAACAAACCAAAAATCCTTAAATGCAATTATGTTGTTTAAATGAATGAAATGTCGACGTCTGACAAACGGAAGGCTGATCATTTTAAAAATTTTCAGTTATCTGTTTTGGATGAGACTTGTGTTTTTTTTTTTTATAACCATCGTCTTTGTCAAATTGAACTGAACTGTATTTTAATGAATATTGTCCTGAAGAAGGTTTATTATACCGAAACGTCAGACGTCGACATTTCATTCATTTTAAACAACATAATTGCATTTAAGGATTTTTGGGGTTTTTTTTCCAAATTTTTCTTCATATATATATATATATATATATATATATATATACATATATATATATATATATAAAACAAACAGGCATATAGACACTTCTGATTTCTGGTCATAGCATGTTATAAGACAATTAGATTTATATATATCAACCCCTACATCCTCAGAGATCCCAACGCATTTTGTCTTTCATACTCTTTTGTCTTTTATTCTAATCTGAAGAAGCCGTACACACCAGTTGTCCTTTTGGCAAAACGCGTCGTTTATATGATTTTTAGAAATGTTATTTTTTAATCTTGTTAATTTATCTTATTAAATCATTTTTTAACTTCTCTTAACCACCACTGATTTAATTTTATGAAATTTTGAAAAACTCATTTTTGTAGCGCTTAATGTTTATATTACTTATAAGCAGTAGTCTTTGGAGATTTTAAATCAACTTCTTTTTGTTAAACATGAACCCCAGTTAGCAAAAATCTGCTCTGAATCGTAAAATAAAAAATGCAAAAAATCTAAGACATTAATTAATTAGAAAAGTTTTAACTGCTTTTATGAAAAAGCTATATTATGTACAATAATTGTCTTAAGAAATTAAATTTCGATGAATAATGAATTTTTGCAGGAATTATTTTCATTGTTTTAAATTTTAATTAGAACAATTTATAAAGTTTTAAATCTTTTAAAATTCTGTATGAATTTGTACCGGTTAGATGATATTGCTATAACGTGCCGCTTTTTGTAATTTCGGATGTCCATACACGACATTTCAGAAAATAAGTGCGTTAACTATAGTAAATTTCATGCTAAAGTTCCTAAAATTAAATAAAACTTTAGACTACGGAGAATATTTTTCTAAATTTTTAAGATTACTGGGTAGTTAAATATTTTACAAAGGAGACGCTTACGAAATATTCCTTAAGTAATTTTTACAGATATGGCCCTCGTAGAAAAACATTAGATCAGTTGCCAGCTGTGGTAAGAAAGCGTTTTTTGTATGTTTTTATAGAGAACTTTGTTGCTAATTAAAATTTTTCTTATTTCAGATGAATTGAATATGCTACTTTTGATGCAGTGTGTTGTATTATTAATTTTATTTGTTTCCAGTGTTCGACGAGTTTATATTTATATATATATATATATATATATATATATATATATATATATATATATATATATATATATATATATAAAGGAAGAACAGTAAGATATATAATCTGGTGTTCTTATTCATATTTCTTATCTTTACAAAACAGTGCTCCATGTAAAGTTACAGAGCATAATTATTTTAGAAAGAATCTTTAAGTATACAAGTACGAAAAAATGTCGAAAACCTTTTTTTGTCGTTAATAATAAAAAAAAATCAGACGACATGCGTTTAACGGATTTCAGAATTCGTTGAAAAATACACCCCTACCCTCCCAAAACTTAATCGCTTTTTCGAACGTAACTCATAATTGATACAACAATAGTTAATAAAAAATGAACACGCTACCGCCCCTGTTTATGATTGGATTTCTCTGTATCCTTGGAAACAGGAAATTATGAATTTATATGTGCGTTTAAAACTCAGTAAATTTTAAAATAAGTTATTCCAAAATTCGCTTGAAGATTAAACAGAACTAATGCTTTTAATTTATTTATATAATTAAATTTGAAGTTTTTAGCTTCGGATTTTGAAATATGGTTATTACTGTGAAGCGAAGAAACCATATTTTAAATCATTTAATTTATAATATATATATATATATATATATATATATATATATATATATATACACGTTTCATTAAATAATATAGACAAGTGTTGTCTATTTATTTTATGTAAATTTTTTTCATAACGTCTGATAAGTTTAATAACATTATCGTTGAACGAAGAAAGAAATTCACAATATTGATCCATATTTTTTAATACAATCTAAGCTTTCGGCTTACATCAGCCATTATGAAAGATGTCAATTACAACATATTAAGCAATATACGGACAAGACAGTGATGATAGTCTGTCATTGTTTACATAGATGATTTCTAAGCAACGATAAACACGTGCATATAAGACGCTAGAAGCGAAAATCGCACTGCATCTCATGACGTCACACATGACCACACGAGAGGGAATTGGAGAAGTATGAAGTATGTGAAGCCGTGGTATAAACCAATGGCTTCTGTTACCAATTATAGACATTTAAGAATATTTGTAGAGATGCCATAATTGATTTTGTTTAGGTTGGGTTTCAACTGTTTGATGTATAATGCTTCAAGGATTTTTAATTTTTGCTTATTGCTTTCATGTCGAAGTATAATTGTGTTTTCGACAAGTATTTATAAACTATGTTCGTTTTTTGCAAATCGCTAACCGGGGGAGAAGAATCATAGCGATTTGCAAAAAACCAACATAGTTTATAAATTCAAGTGCCCTTTGGGAGATTGTATCTCCAACGAATTAAATAATATTTATGTTGGTCACACCACAAACTCGCTTTCACGGCGCTTGACCCTACATTTGAATGAAAACTCTAACATTTTTAGGCATTTAAAACAACATGCCTGCCCGCACACACAATTCCGTAAAATATTTGTCGCACACCTCTCAATGCATGGATATTAAGATGGAAATCTGATTTAGTTTTAATTTTTCTGGTTTTATAAGAAGTGGTAATGTGTGGCCCCCAACAAGAATTTTCAACTCTAGGTCTTCTTTCTTGGTGAGGCTTAGAAATTTTTGAACGACCTTCGTATAGTTTAATTCTATTTAAAATATCAATTTGTTATTAGTGACCCACCTTTATAAGGAAGAATTTTCTTTATAATTAATGAGGGGTATAAAGACATTGGTAAGGCGACTGCATAGAACCGATTCTAAACATTTAATGATTCAAAGATGATTTAAAATTCTTTCAACAAGAAACGGGATAACAATTAATATTTATAACAAGCAGATGTTCCAAGTATCATAATTTTGGCAAAAAAGAAAAAAGAAAAAGAAAAGATGTTTTTTTTTTTTTTAATTTATGTTTCGAATGAAGATTTCCTTCTTCAGGATCAATTTGCGCGAATGAATTTGACAAAAGCCATACTTGAGATTCAAATACTGAAATTTCAAGTTCTTGTTTGTCTGATTTTGGTTAGATTCTACAAAAGATACTGAAGAACAGATGGTCGTTGCATCCAATTGCAAGCATTTTCCATTTCACTGTTCAAAAACAGTTGACGATCTCCGGAGTTAAGCAACGTCGAGCCTGGTCAGTACCTCGACGGGTGACCGCTTGGGAATACAAGGTGCTGTAAGCTTTGATGTGCCTGTAGAAATGGCTTACAACCATATCATGTTGAAACACCGGTACCCGTACGATTACCGGAGTTAAGCAACATCGAGTCTGGTCAGTACCAAGATGGGTGACCACTTAAGAATAAAGGTGATGTAAGTTTGGATGTGCACGTAGAAATGTCATGTAGGCACATCATGCTGAAACTCCGGTACCCGTACGATAACCGGAGTTAAGCAACATCGAGCCTGGTCAGTATCAAGATGAGTGACCTCTTCAGAATAAAAGTGCTGTATGCTTGAATGTGCCGATAGAAATGGCTTACAGTCACATCACATTCAAACATTTGTTCCCGTGTGATCACTGTAATTAAGCAACGTCGAGCCTGGTCATTACCAAGATGGGTGACAGCTTGGATGCTGAAAAATTGGTTGTGTCGGTGATGTAATGGATAATGGGTCGGAATTGCTAATTGGAGAGCCGAGTTGGGTTTGTTTCATTCATTTACGCAAAAATAACCTTGGGAAAAGTGTGACTTCACTTCTTCTCCCCCAGCTATGGGTTATATAGTAGGACTTGCGTCAGTAAATCATGATATTCTTAAAAAAATATTCTTATAAAAAATATCTTCAAAAGAGTTGATAAACCGTAAAAAAATCAATCAATAAAAAATGACTATCAATTGTAAGAAGACATAATGTATGGTTGCTAGCAAAAGAAAAACCTAACATGCTGGCTATGATCTGGGGGTACCAAAATCAAACTACTCCAGAAATTTAAATGTCTTGGAAGTGTTTTAACAGAAGACGGAAGATTTAGCACTGAAATTCGATGTTGCATTGAAATAGTAAAAGATGCCTTCCAAAAGAAAAACAAAGAATTAAGAAACAGGAAAATTTTGTTAGAAACATAGGAAATTCTATGTAATATCAAACCTCCTTTATGCTGTCCAATTTCCTCATCAACACCTATATGGGTTATTTAATGCCGAAATCCAAATATTTTGAACGCAATTGTATGTCTTCAAATACAGATGCACTAATGTTCATTCTATCTCTTTCTCTCCCTTTCATGCACTCTGTTTCTCTCTCCCATTCTCTGTTTCTTTCTTTCACACACTCTCTCTCACCTTCTCCCTGTCGCTTTCACTCTCTCTTCTTTCACTCTCTCTCTATTTTGTCTCTCTCGCTTTTCTCTCTTTCTATCAATGCAGAGCAACTTTTTACATCACAAGCCGAACAATTGATTGGTTGATTGGTTTTGTTTTGCGGCATATCAACATCTCTATGGGTTATTTAATGCCGAAATCTAAATATTTTGAACGCAATTTTATGTATCTGTCTATATTTCTAAGGCAGTGGAGAACTTTCAGAGGGGAATTAACAGGAGATAACTGATAACTGACATCCATTAAACATGGCACGTGAAAACTAGAACAGTCTACCCCAGTGTTGTAGAGTAGTTTTCACAGTGGAGGCTTGTATTTCAATAAGTCGTCCTAAATTAGGTTCGACGTACAAAACGTTAGGAACTTGGAAATAAGTGTTAATGACACAGCAATCTAGTTGCGATGGTTGGTACCTCAATGTCCGATATCGTCTGACTCGCTCAACACCACTGAGCCGAAGTGGCCACTACTACTACTTATCTGTGGGAGAGTCTATTAATAATAGAATAGGTACGTCAGGTATGACACCCAGTGAGCGAAATAAAGGTTTCAGTTCGACATTCCAACTACCTGAAGAAGGCCGGAGCGTACAAAGGCCGAAACGTTGTAATAAATATGGCGACAAAGATGAGGACAATAGTCCGAATAATGTAAATAATGCAATTTTATGTCTTTATCTACAGATATACTACTAGTCATTCTCTCTCTCTCTCAAACACTCTCTTTCATTCTCTCTTTCCCTTTCTTCCTTATCGCTTTCACTCTCTCTGTCTGTCTTTCACTCTTTCTTTCACACATTTCCTCTCGCTTTCACTTTATATTTCCTTTACTCCCTCTCTATTTTTCTCTCTCTCTCTCTTTTCTCTTTTTTTCTCTCAATGCAGAACAACTTTCAACACCGCAAGCCGAATGATTGATTGGTTGATTGGTTTTGTTTGGCGGTATATCAACACCTCTATGGGTTATTTAATGCCGAAATCTAAATATTTTGAAAGCAATTGTAAGTCTTTATCTCCAGATAAAATGTATTGTTGGTCAATTTATTTCATCCTCTCTACTTCTCTTTCCCTCTTTCACTCTGTCTCTCTCTGTTTCTTTCTTTCACTCTCTCTGTGTTTCATTCTCTCTCTTTCACTCTCTCTCTCTTTCACTCTTTCATGCTATCTTTCTCATTTCTCTCTCTCTCTCAATACAGAACAACTTACAACATCTCAAACCGTACAATTGATTTATTGGTTTATTGATTTTATTTAGCGCCATATTAACGACTGTATGGGTTATTTAATGTATTTTGTACACAATTTTATGGCTTCAATATTTTGAGCGTAATTTTTATGACTTAAGCTCCAGATAAAATGGTTCGTCTTATTTTTATATAAAAATGTATTGCTGGTAATTTTACTATGAATTTTTACACTTTCTATTTGTTTTGAGTTTTTGTTTGGGGTTCAATATTTGTCTATAGTTGGGATCCGAACAGGTGCTACCACACCGCGTTAGGGTGAGCCTGGGAGCAACAGTAATTAAGAAGGGTTTCCATGCTTCTCAAATCATCCAATCTTCTGATTAGAGGCATTGCTACCGGATGTAGTTTATCGTGATACCCAGGACTAATGGAGCATGTAAGCAACGTGGAAGGTTTAAAGAAAATGGAAACAAAAAGGATAATCCTGTTTAAAATCGGAAATAGACAATAGAAATTTCTAGGGCACATAATGAGGAAAGAGGGTTTGGAAAATTTGACACTCACAACACACATCGAAGGCAGGAGGGACAGAGGAAACAACTAGAAATTTATCTAAAGGGCTTGTGAAAAGGTGTGACAGAACAGGGAGTAGGGCATAGTGAAAATAAAATAAAACACAACTGGGAGCAAATTATAGGATGTTGTACGGAGCCATGATCTCCCACGTTCTTCAAGAAGATTTTACTTTAAATAATAGGGATAAAGAATTTATAGGAGCTGACTTTATAGAATAAAGACATCACACATTCTAGTTATGAAAAAAAAACCCTTCTTAATACTAGTATTGGCCTGATGGATATAGTTTAGAATAGGATATTTCTAACGGGGACGTGTAAAGTAGATCTAATACCCCACTGGCTGCTATTTTGGTTACATCGTGGGTGGGGTTAGTCTGGTGTGTTAAACTGGGACAAAACAATGCTTGCGCAACGTCTCACTTTCAGGAGAGCACGGCCATGGCTCTCCACAGTTGTTTAGCTCTTAGCAATGTTTATCATTTTGCTATCTCTCCTGTTCTTCCAACCCTTTACACAAGATTTTATTAGGTAGATTATGCGGTTTATCCTCTGTCTCTCTTGCCATCAATATATCCTGCGAGTATCAAATTCTCCTAACCATCTTTCCTCATTATTTGCCCAGGGAATTTCACTGTCTCTTGTCTCTTTTTGATTCTAAATATATGTGAGCTTTTTGTTTCTATTTCCCCTAAAATTTCCTTGTTACCCAAATCTGTTGAGTATTCACAGTGGACAATATTAGATAATAGTGTGGACAATATTAGATAACAGTTTAGTGAGCTTTTCTTTGTTTCGAACTTTTCCGGTTTCTTAATACTTTACTTAGCTTTTGGAAGGCAATTTTCGCTATCTCAATGCACCTTCGGATATCGGTGTCGCAATTTCCGTGCTTAGATAAAAACTTGCGGGATATTTAGAAGTCATACCAGCGTGGGCTGAAAAGTTCATCAGTTGACTATGAAGAAGTCGTGATAGTGCCGTGAAACCTTTCATGCTTTAATTTCAACTCTTCTTATTAACAACTGCATTGTTTCTTTCTAGGTACGATGGTGGGCTGAAAGGTCCATAGGCTGACTATGAAGGAGTGGTGCTAGAGCTATGAAATCTTGCAAGCATTCATTTCAATTCCGATTCATAACTGCATTGTTTCTTCCAGGCCCAAGGGCGGACTGAAAAGTTCATAGGCTGACTATTAAGGAGTAATGCCAGAGTTGTCAAATCTTGCATCAACTCTTCATATTAATAACTGTATTGTTTCTTTCCAGGTTCGATGGTGGACTGAAAATTCATAGGCTAACTATAAAGGAGTAATGCTAGAACTGTGAAATCTTGCACGCATTAATTTCAAACTGATTAATAACTGCATTGTTTCTGTCCAGGTTCAAGAGCATGCAGAAAAGTTCATAGGCTGACTATGTAGGATTGATGCCAGAGCTGTCAAACATTGTATTAATTTCAATTTTTTTTTATTAATAACTGCTTTGTATCTTTCCAGGTACACGAGGGTCGGCTGAAAAGTTCATAGGCTGACTATGAAACAGTCATGCTAATGCCGTGAAACCTTTTATGCTTTAATTTCAACTCTTCTTATTAATAACCACATTGTTTCTTTTCTGGTAAATTGACAGCTGACTGTCCAAAGGTAACTAGTAATGACTTCTCTTGAAAATGGACAAAATTTGGCATCAAGTAGTATAAAAGTAACTAGCTGAATTTAGGACGGGGAGAGAGTCTTGATGATGACCCAAGGTCTGAAGGTCTTGCAACTGCCACCATCGAGACAATATTGATCATTTTCACCATACGGTGATGGATGATTGGCGGTTGACTAAATCAAATGTGAAATAAAATTAACATACCCCCTGGGAGAGCTGAGAATATTCTTAACAGTAAACTCGGCATGACGTGGGTGCCACGTCTTCTGACACCTGATCAACATGATCACCTCACAGGAAAATCTGATAAAGTCAGATCAATTGTTTGAGACAAAGAGACAACATATGCAGGGGAACCAGCCCTCTACATCTGCTCCAAAGAAGGTCAAGGACGTTTCATCTGCAGGGAAGGTGATCTAAAAGATAAAGTGTTTTTTTTTTATATTTAAAAGTGTCACACCATCAATATAGAATACAGTGAGTCCCCGCCTCTTCACGTTTCAGCATTCACGGTTTCACACATTCGTGGATTTTTCTTTAGGACATATGCACTTGTCATTCGCGAAAACCC